ATATATTATATAAAATATTATATATTATATAAAATATTATATATTATATAAAATAATATATAAATATATAACGTAAAAAGCCATGTTATTTTTGCTAAATAATAAGTTAACAGATGGCGCCTCATACTAATCATCACCTACCACCAATACTAACCATGACCTACCACCACTAACACTATACTATCACCTAAACACCACCAATACTATCTATCACCTACAACCACCAACACAATCACCTACCACCACCAACACAATCATTTAACACCACCTACACTAACTACCACAACCAACAGTATATCATTACCTACTACCACCTATAAAAAACATCACCTACCACCACCAACAGTAACCATCACCTAACGCCACCAACACTAACCATCTTCTACCACCACCCACCACAATCAACAATAACCTCCACCTACCACCACTAAAACTAGCCATCATAGTACTAACACAAACAATAACCACCATCGTACCAACACCACCACCTACACTAACCATCACCTACCACCACCACTAACACTAACCATCCTACCAACACCTACCACCACCCACACTAACCATCCCCTTCCACTACCAACGCTAACCATCACCTACCACCACCAATACTAACAATCACAGTACCAACACAATAACAACCACCTGTCAACCTTGAGAACATTCAAAGAGTAAGATCGGGTGCTGAAGGCATGAATAGTGGCTGGTGGACCAGGGGGCTGCCAAGGGCTCCCGGTCGGAGTCCAAGGGCCGAAGGCTTTGGCTTAATTGGCATATTTAATCGATATTAGTGAGTTTATAATGATCTCAGATACTGTTTTTATCGAAAGATATCGAATGAAAGGTATCCTCCCTTCTTATGTTACACCTTTTTTGTATCAGATTCTCTGTAAAATCTCAGTTTAATGTATTGTCTGACACTGAGTCAGTCACATTCTTTAAAATTCAACATGCAATTCAGTTTAGATCATGGGAACGACTGTGTATTCAAAGGCCACGCACATAGCTACAGAAGGACCAGTGATGACTATTTTAGTCGATATTAATGGCGAGCGATAGCCAGAAGTCCTTGCCCAGAGGACCATATGATCATGAAGGTAGAATGTTATAATAATGGATGTTAGTTATAGTAAAATTTATTACAAATTGAAAAAGAAACAAACTTTACTCAAATTTTAGATTAAGCATACGTTTTGCCGGTGTTTGCCTAAAACCGTAAGATTTGATTGGAAAGCGTAAGACTTATGGCGAATGCGCACGGGTTGACAGGTCTGCACCTACCACCACCAACACATAACCACCACCTACCACCACTAACCATACCTACCACCACCAACATTAACCATCACCTACCACCATTAATACTAGTCACTGCCACCACAATAGCAGCCACCACCACCAGAGTAGTTTGGCCCATCATTATCAAAATAAAATAATAATAATTTTGTATGTCAATTATTACCATATACAACACTGTACTTCATACAAATAATTTATAATTAACAGGATTTAATTTCACAAGATGGCGACCAGTGAGCTGAATCAGTTTCTGGAAAATGTTGATGAGAAGGTCCTCGAGTGTACCATTTGCTTTAAGAGACTTCAAAATCCTAAGGCTACGGTCACACTAGCGTCTCAAGCCTGGCTTGACTCACCGCGGGTGAGATTTCAAGCCAGGCTCGAAATTCTGGGTCGGTCACACTAGTTGGATGAAAGTCAAAACAGCAGAGCCGTAGAGAGAGAGTTTGGCCAACTCTGTTTCACGGGATTCGATATACGCGTGTGTGATTGGGTGGATCGCAATCAAAGATTTTACACCAGACGTGCCCGAACCACTCTTCTTCAACTGATCTTTTATCAGCTTGTATTGGGCTCGCAATGCC